GGCTGCAATATAACAAAGAGTGAAAAATTGAAGGGGGTCTGAATACTTTCCGTACCCACTGTATATATATATTTACTGTTTTGTTTTCCAAAGCACCTAAAAGCCAATTCACACCGCCATACTCCAACGGGGTGAACACACTGTCCAAACAAAACAAAATAAGCATGTTCTTTTAAATAGCTTTTGAGGCAGTTTGAACTGACCATAATGCTGTATGTTAGGTGTGAGATTCATTAAACTTGGTTTGCTATAATACATCTATTCATAAGTGCACCAGTGTGAATCATAATTCCCCCACATTTGCTGTATATCCATAAAGTGATATCTTTGTCATAGTATTCTTTCAGTGGTTAACTAACTGATATTTTTTTTTTTTTTTTTTTTTTATGGTGAATTGCCAAAAAAAAAAACAATAATTTTGCATAAGATTTTTTATTAATTATTTGAAGTGGGTTAGTTAAGGGCGTGATTAGCTGATGTATTATTGTGGGAGTATGTGATAAGTTGATGAATTGTGTGCATGGTTAATGATGGCTCTTAAATATATAAATGCAGTGTGTTGAATGCTTACTAAGACTTGCATATTATGCATAATGTTTTGATCTTGGATAATCTTTTATAATTTACTGTGAAAAATATTAAAAAGCGGCCAAAATCAAATATTTAAATATATTTGTAAAATATATTTCAAAATATATTTACATATATTGTATCAAATATATTTTATTCTATTTAAATTTAAGATATTTAAATATTTGAAAAGATATTTATTATTAATATTTCAATCTATGTGACTTCTGTATGGGTGCTAGTCGAATATTTTTCGAATGCTTATCTATCTATCTATCTATCTATCTATCTATCTATCTATCTATCTATCTATCTATGTTTTATTTAGAAGATTTCTTGTGCCACTTTTATTTTGAATCTTTGAGGATGCCCCAAAATGGTTAAAGTCAAGTCTTTCTTCCGGTTCACTTCCGGTTTCCACGTCTTGCATTTGGCATAAGCACGTTTACAGCTGCAGTTATTTCTGCTCAAATTCACACAACGTCTTGACTCTTCCCACACATCTGAAAGGTTAACCGATCATTTAGTTACTTAGTCAATCGGTTAATATAATGTCAAACATACGCTAATATTGAGGTAATACCCCTGCAGTCCTTCAGTGTAAATATGCCGTGTTGGAGACCGTGGTAATGGAGCGAGATTTACTCAGACAGTCCGTGTCGTATCACGGGGAAAACCTGATGTTATTGTTAAAATGCGAGCAAAGTGAGAACCCAGACTTCAAACGTGTGGCTGCTGATCTCTCCAAAACTCTGAATCAAAGGTAAGAGGCGTTTTTATAGTTCTTGCATGATTATTTTTATCCCTGTTGTCATGTTTTTGTGTTGAGAGACCCCGGGACCTTTCACATAGCCCATAAAATATACTTCAGGAATAGTTAATCTTTTTTAAATTAATTGTATTAATCACTCACCTGCATGTCAGTCATTACAAACATGCATGACTTTCTTCTGTGGAACACAAATTGAGATATTTAAAATAATGTCTGCGCTACTCTTTTCCATACGGGTAACTTACTTCTCAGAACTGGGAGTTTATTTCTCTCACTTCTCAGTTTATATCTAAAGTTTATATGAGAATTGCAAGAAAAAAAGTGTGCTTCTATAGAGCCTAGTAATGCACTATATTCCTAAAAGTCGTGCTTTTTTTTTTTCTCCATTAATTTTCATAATTTATTGACTGTAAATGAGTAATGTGTGATTGGTTTGAAACAGGGATAAAGAAGAGGGGAGCCCTGTTCTTGAGCAGTTCATAGCAAGGAAAGCTGATCTGCTGTTTGCTCCGTCATGGAAAACATCTACACCCGCAGATGAAAGGCAGGAGGAATCTGGAGGTTAACCGTCTCAATCATTTCGAATGAAATTCTGTATTTTATTCCTATTATAGCAATCGTTCACTCAAAAAGATGTATTCGTCTTCATGTATCTCCAAACCCATTTTTTGAAGACTATCCTGTTGGCATGAATGGGTTAGTTATATTGGATGGCTGTGCGGATGATTGCATGATGAGCGTGCGTATTGTTTCAGAGGCGCACGCCGTCATGCCTCCGCTGGAGCAGTTCATGGAGGTGTGTTTTGAGGAGAGACGGGAGCTCTTCTACAGGGACGTGGAGCGTGGAGACGTGGTTATCGGAAGGATAAATTCTGTGCGAGACTTCGGCTTATTCATAACTCTTCTCTGCACTGCTGGAGGACTGGAACGAGATATTGAGGATCTGGAGATAAAGGTGGGATTTTGGGTGTTTTTTTTTTCTCTGAACTATATACTTTTATTTTTATATATATATGTATGTGACCCTGGACCACGAAACCAGTCATGAGGGTCATCTGAAAGCTGAATAGATAAACTTTCCATTGATGTATGGTTTGTTAGGATCTGACAGTATTTGGGTGAGATACAACTATTTGAAAATCTGGAATCTGAGGGTGCAAAAATATTGAGAAAATCGCCTTTAAAGTTGTCCAAATGAAGTTCTTAGCAATGCATATTACTAATCAGAAATGAAGTTTTGATATATTTATGGTAGGAAATTTACAAAATATCTTCATGGAACCTGATCTTTACTTAATATCCTAATGATTTTTGGCATAAAAGAAAAATCAATAATTTTGACCCATACAATGTATTTTTGGCTATTGCTACAAATATACCCCAGCGACTTAAGACTGCTTTTGTGCTTCAGGGTCACAAATATATATATATATATATATATATATATATGGGTCAAAGACGAGGCATCCCATTTTGTTGACTGCATCAAATTACATTTACAGAAGTTATTTTATATAAACAGAAAGCATATTAAATGAAAGTCTTTCAATAACTTGGGAGTATATGTCAAAATATAGAAATAATATAGAAATAAATTGTTCTAACATGATTCAATGTAACAGATATATTTATTTGAAAATGAAACGGCAGACTTATTTTGACCTTTACTTATTAAAACGTATAAAAGTATAAGTGATCGTACTTAATTGTATTATATTTTAAATGATTAAAAACTGCAGTGATCCTTCAATAGAGTATTTCAGTGTCATCTAATGTTTCTTCATCTAAGTATACCTGAAAAGATTTATTGTTATATGAACTATTATTACACTTAATGAAATTAATAAATAAATACAATTATTTAATATGAATTATAATTATAATAAAATTATTTTTTGCTCAGGAATAAAACAAATACATTTAAAAAATAATAATAAACAGGACACATACTAATGCACGGGGGGGAAAAAATATATTACACTTTTATTGTTTGGTTGCTTGAAAACCCCTTTCATCTTTTACCTGTATAATTATTATATTTATCAATAATTAAATCATAAATATTTATTTATTTTTGTTCATTTCTTCATTCATTCATCAATAGTTTATGATATTTTTAAAAATGCGTTTGACCTTGAGAAATAAATTTTAAAACTTTTTTTTTTTTTTTTTTTTAATAACGATTAAGATGATGGTATAATGTATAAAAGCAAAATGTATTGATTTCTACTTGAGCCATTCAACTGAAACTTGGTTAAAAATGGTGTTAAAATCTTTCAAAACCAACTTAACTACTTAGAGTTCTTTTTTTTCTAGAAATGTTAAACTAGATTTTTTCAATCAATTCAGTTGCAGCTCGTCAGTCAAATGTGATTCTAAAAATAAATGTTGTCTGTTAAAAGGCCCTCTGTCCATTAAGATGTGTTCCTTCAACTGGAAATCACGATGATCCTTTGTCTTATTACCAAATTGGGGATTTGCTTCGAGGTATGACACTTTTTTTGGCTCTTTTTAGAAATGAATGTCTATATATTAATAGTAAAATGATTAGATTTGCTAAAGTGGTATTTTGTGCCACAGCTGGGGTGAAGGGCATTGACCGCTACCACGAGAAGCTGACACTATCACTGTATTCATCCTCACTGCCTCCTCACTTGGATAAAGTTAAGCTGGGTGTCATAAGCAAAGAAGATCTTCCTCTTCATTATACGTACGTAAACGCAGTAAAACGAATATTGACCCGTTTGTCTCAGGCTTCCTGTTGTTGATGGTTTCCTCCGCTCTTTCAGCCGGGGTGAAAAGGTGACCGCAGACAGCAGCCAGACGTACGAGAAGCTTTTGGAGAGCTCTCTTGGTTTGTCCAACCCTTTAAATGTGGACTACCTCCTGGGAAAGCTGGGAGTAAGCGACACACAAACGCCTTCACTCATGAGGGGCTTGCAGAGGTACACAGAGGCCGTCTTTGACTTTTACGTCATTCGCAGTTTACTTGGTGTTAAACTTTTTTTTGTATATACACAGTAAACACTTCAAAGAAGATGATTTTGCAACAGCTATTCGGAAGAAACAGTCTGTGTCCTGGGCCCTGAAATGGTTTGTTTACCTTTTCCTCATATTCCATGAAATTAACATTTTCATTAGTTAAAAAATGCATTACAATGTTTTTAAATATTATGTTTTTATTTTTAAATTGCATGAAGGCTAAATTGTCAGGAGGATAAATATTTAAATAACATTTTTAATCTTTTGAATGATTAAGAGATGTGCACTCAGGTTTTTAAGAAACTATTTTAGGAAAATATATTACGTTTTACTTTATGGTTACACCACAACTTTTTTTTTTTTTTTTTTTTTTTTTAAGAGTTATTGCGTTTAAAGTTTCTTGAAAGTGCTGTAATAATAATAATAAAAAAAAAAACGAAACAAACATGAGTACGAGGTGTACATTTATACACATTTTTAAAAGGTTCCATTTCTTTTTTTGTGGACGCTCTAATTTGTTTAATGCATATTCTGCTAAATAATAACGCTAAAATACAAACTGTCATAAACTAGTGCTATTATTAGCTACAGTGTTGGAGAAAGTTATTTTTAAAAGTAATGCATTACAATATTGCATTACTCCATAAAAAAAAGTAACCAATTGTGTTGCTTAGTTACGGAACGTAATGCATTACATTTCTTTTGCATTACTTTTTTGTCACCTGGGCTTGCTTATTCGTTTTTTAATAACAAAAAACCCAAAAGTTATATTTTTGGCAGCTGTGTAAGAGCCCTTTCACACCAAAAATGAGATTAATAAGCCGCAGGCTGAAGGACAGGTGTGCTGTCAGTGAATCAATATTTTCTTGGAAATTTAAAAGTAATGCGTTTGTTGTAGCCATTTAAGAAAATTTATTTTTGTTTTATATTTATGTTAAAATAGTATTTGTTCATGTTTTGTTTGGGTTTAATTTGTTAATTATGAAAGAAAATTGTGTGATTAGTAAACGTCATAAAGGCCGTGGTAATAAATTGGACGGCATTATGCCAGGAGAAACTGAGTGGGTCAGACACAATTTTTGACTACTTAATTTTAATCGATGTTTTGTTGATCAATTATTGAATCAAATAAATAAGAGCAAGGAAAAAACGCTTTGTGGAATGAAGTGTGTAACGAAATGCTTCTGCGGCCTTAAGAAAAGGCCAAAACGGCGTTACTTTACTAGTTACTTTAAAAAAGTAATCTGATTACGTAGTAGTGTTGTCGAAAGACCCGGTATTTCGGTACCAAGTCGGTACTAAAAAAATGTTAATGTTACAGTACCAGGTTTTTTTAAGTACCGGTGGTACCGAGTACCCGGTCAACCCGGTTCTTGATGCGCTATCCGAAAGGTGTGCGCACTGAGACGTGGCGACATCAAAAGGAGGAAACACACCAAACTAACAAAACACTTTAAAGACAGACACCCAGATCAAATGAAAGAGTTCAAGCAGGTAAGTTTCATTGTGTTTCCCATACATTGATTTATTTGTGGTGGCTAGGCTTGCCGCGATAGACGGTGCTAACGGTTATACCGGTGTTAAGCCGCAACACCGGTTACGTCACCTGCCCACCGCGTCACCGACCCCCACCGTTGTTTTGATTTGTTATAGTAATAAAAATCATTTAGTTCAGTAAAAGAACAGACACTACAATTAAAAACTGAACGCGGCTGCTCAATGCAGCGTGCCGAACGACAGTCGCATCACAGATCAGATTTCATTTCTCCAGTGAGGAGAGTGAGTCGAGCTGACTGACAAGAAGAGTGAGGTGAGACAGACAAGAAGAGTGAGGTGAGACAGACAAGAAGAGTGAGGTGAGACAGACAAGAAGAGTGAGGTGAGAC